CTTTCCAGACTTTTGATAATTGCTTGAAGGCTGACCTTGCCTTGGCGGTTCTTGCTTTAACATCTGCCTCGGTTCCACCTTTACCATCGATGACTATATATGGCCCCATCTATGGTCACTCAAAAATTGACCTTAATTTTAAAAATCAGGCTTGGCAAAATTGTGCAAAATCAGAAAAACGTAAAATGTTGTTTTCGAACGTAGAGGTGCATCGACATTGGTGAAATGGACTTGTATTGAATATTAATTGAAAAGAAAATATCATTGTCTCTACAATAGGAAGCATCTTCTGATGATTATTTTCAAACAGATAGGAAAACAGGGCTGTTGCAAATACCAGGCACAACCTGGAAATAACTGTTACACGTGTTCATTAGTTTGAATTTTGTTTTTGTATAGGAGCTGTTGGTCTCGTGTCGGGCACGAATTCTTTTTCCTTTTTTTTTTTTTTTTTTTTGCACATGGACAGTGTTAGTTAGGTTTTGGACATAATAATCTGTCAGTGAGTTACAGAGGCCACGAAATTGCCAAGATTTTGGGTGGTCTGGGATGGCATGAACAAAACCGCCCTCGTGAGAATCACTGGAGGGTTTGGTTTAGTGGACTACATTACGCAAATGCTGGAACGTCATGTCTTACCCTTATTTTCGTCATAGCTTCATTCAAGTAGCCATCTTCATGCATAGTAAAGCACTTTCTCGCCTTGCTAATGCCACGGGATAATTTTTTGGAAAACCAGACAAAATCAACGTTGGAGTGGTCACCAATAAATAAGCCTAGCCCCGATGTGAATCCTACAGGTATGTGAAGTCCCATGAAACAGCTGAGGAAAAGCGACTTTGCTCCCAAAACAAAACCCTAGGTTTGGAACTCTCTGTGACATATTATATTTGGGATTAAATAAAACATATTTTGTTTCCAAAATTTAATAGAGTCGATGCCCAATGGGTTCTGAGCACATTTAATGTTAAGTCCAAGTTTTGAGTTGTATTTGTGATGGCTTTGTCTTCCGTTTTGTTTGAAACTATCGTGGCAAAATATAGATCTAGATCTAGTAACAAAATACTGTTTATTGCCGACCGAGACAAAATTATCCATTCAGTGGATATGCAATGTATTTCCTTTCCAATCAATATAGGCACTCCCCAATACACGTACGAAGACAATTCTACGTTTCTTTGCTTTCGACAAATTTTGCCAAGCCTGAATTTTTATGGTCAATTTAGAGAAACCATATCTAGGGTGCCCTTTAACATAGATGACTTATTAACCTGTTAGATGATGCAGAATTTATTCAGCTTTAAATTGATATGCGACATGAGTGAGTAATGTGAGGTTTTAACACGATGATTGCCTGATTACATTTTCAAGTTTTTCTTGGACACCACTGATAATATACAATCTAGTAAAATTACAGACTCTGCGTACATAGTATTGATTAAATAATTCATTCATCCATTCATTCATTCGTTACTAAACAAATAATTTAAAAAAATATAAATAGAAGAACTATATATCATTACACATTACATAATATATATATATATATATATATATATATATATATATACATATATACCTAACAACAGGCTGCAGAGGCTAACCTGAAAAGCGTCGCACCCAACCTGAGAAGGAAAAACAGTCAAGCCAGTTCGAAACACGTTAGCACTATGACTAGCTTCAGCTGTGCTGCGGATAAAGGAATAAAAAAAAATCTATAACAGCGGCTGTCAGATCCCCTTTCGCCAATGCACGCGAACATAGAAGACGAAAAAGGTTAAACAGGGGGCATACGAACAGACAGAGAGACGGACAGACAGACAGTGTAAAGCTGTGTCTATTTAAGTCCAAAATCCAACATACACTTCACTTTGTTTGTGCTTTTCAAACTATTCGAAGCATGTCAGAATCATTTGATTACTGTTTGATTTTTTTAGACTGTTCAATACATTTTCGCCTTCTTTTTTTCAAGCGTAATAGAATTAGAATATAATGTTTAATCTCCCAAATCATTGAAGCAAATATAGAAATATTTTCTACTTGATGATTACGTGACAGAGTGGAACCAACAAAAGTTGTTGAAATTGAAACACAATGCAAGGATAAAAATGCTCAAGAAAAGGCGCCCCGACTGCTGTAGTGTAGCGATTGTTTCTTTGAAGAAGTTTGGAGAACACCGTGGCAATGCGCTCCCCCCTCCCCTTTCCACACACACACACATATTCGAAATTCGGATTGTATTGAATGGTGCCGTGACGTTATCTGCACTTCGTTCTTGCGTGCGAGCCAGAGCATGCGCGCCCAAGTAGTGCTGTATATATATTATTTTAGTTGCCAAATGTTGAATAGCTGAAGAAAGGGATATATACAACATATAGGCCTATGGAAAAAGATCTATAATAATATACATGTACATTCAAAGTCAACAGAAAAACAGACGTTGACTGTTCTGGCAACAGCAGATACCCGCGGAGCATGCCGATGGTTCGATTTCTCTGATGTTGAGTTCAACCTACTTTAATACTACGTCTTTCCTCGGTAACAATGATCAAAGTTTCCTTAAGGCTTTTGATAAACACGGACCTAAATTCCATTCGTATAAAACAAACAAAGAAACAAACAAAAAGCCCTTTCAAAAACAAAGAATAAAAAAATACGCGCCCGCAGTGGGAGGGGGAATTATATTTTTCCTATCTTCTAGGCTAACATTAGTGCTGTGATCACTAATTGAAGCTTCAAACTGTTATTTTTTTTATAACATTACCTACTTTTTATAGTAAAAGTTTAAGCGTAAAGATTTAAAAGGCTATACTGCAGTCAATAATTAGTGATACAACTTATTGTTAAATATTTCTTAAACTATCAAACAGCTCCAGATTTTGCACAACGACTTGTATCAATTTGTCTTAACAGATCAATATTTTTGTAAACATCTCTTAGCAGTATTCTAGAAAAACCCATTAATAAACAGTGGCGGCTCGTGGTTTAGAGAACTGACCGGCCATCATTCACATAGACTCTTTCTTCCTCCCTCCCCCC